GAGGGGGCTTTTAATGGATGCTAAAGGCATGGGAGATAACAAGCCATTAGCTTTGCCAGACGATGCTTCGTTTCCCTATCTGTGTTCGAGCTTTCAAGCACCAGTGGAATAAATGTAGCACGGTGCTCACCTGAGGCTCTTCCTGCCCATCCTCACTCCTCCCTGCCCACATGATAGATCAGAACAACTATGGAAATTGGAGTTGAGGGGTGACTATCATCTTTTCCCCCTTCCTCTGCATTGCTTTGAACAAAACTAGCAGAGGCTGGGCCTCACCAGTGCAGCCAACAGTAAATCAAAAGGCAGCGGACAGGGGCCCCAGGGCTGCCACACTGTTGGAGAAATTAAAGCCAGTTAATCATTGTATTCATGAAATCTACATAAATGTGCACATGTACAAAGCATGGATCTGAACAGGAGTCATTTGTATATTCTAGAGCAGAGTTCTTTCCCCTTGGTACCCCAGAGGCTGATGGACTACAATTCCAATAATCTCCAATCAACGCAGGCAATGGCCAGGGAAGATGGGTGTTGGAGTCCAGCTAAGTCTGGGGACCCAAACTGGAAGATTATAATTCTAGAAGATGTTGCAACTGACATTGTCTTCAAAAGGACATCCCCTTTCTGTTTGCCAGGATCTGCTGGGTTGTCCAGTGTGGTGAATCACTGAACTTCAGCTGACAGCCTTCTCATCTCAGTGAAAGACCTTCAGGCCCTAGATCAGTGTTTCCCAAACTTGAGTCTCCAGCTTTTTTTGGACTACAACTCTCATCATCCCTAGCTAGCAGGATCAGCTCTTCCTCAACTCGTTGGTAGAAAGAGAAAGGCCAGAATTGAGAGGTGAATTATGTGAGCTAGGAGGTAGAAGAACCTGGAAGTAGGGTGCAAAGCTAGAGAGAAAGAGCCGTGCCTGAGCTCTGCTTGAATCCAAGACTACGGCTAAGGGAGAAGCAAGACACTCTTGGGGTGTTAATGCTGTGAACGCCTCCATTGTAGGCTCAAGTATATATATGTAAATAAACCATATATCACAAAGACACCACAGTCTCTGCTGTCTATCATTCCAAAGGAAACACAAACTCTGCGTAAGCATTTGGAACCCCTGAAATCCCACACCGCTTGGAGAATGGGGTGGCATGCAACACAAGCATTGCATTCTGGGAAATTGTTGTGGAAGAGATTATTCACTAATAACATGATATTCTCCTGCCCTTATCCTATGATGAAACTTTTCCACACCTATCTATGCCCTTGTGTTTTAGACTTCTTATTTAAACATGCTCTGTTTTAGTGTATTCAGATCTTAGCTTTTTATTTCATTTTAGAAATTAAAGGGGGGGGTGATTGAAAACATCTGCACCACAATAAATCCGGCCACACAAATCTGGCAGTCACATGCACACACAAGCTCCAAAGTGGAAGAACGACAAGGAAAACACACCTCAAGGTGACTTCTTCATGCCATAAACGTTGGGATGAAATTGCTTTGTTGCTCTGCCATAGCTCATTCTCTCCCCCATTGGGAACACTGCGAAAGGACCTGAGCTCTGTGACCTGGAGGCTGGGCAAGATGAGGAGCCTGGAGTTGACATCTGGCCTCCAGGCGGGAGGGTCCAGCCAAGCCAGATAAACAGCATCTCCTCTTTGCCATTCAGTAACATGACAGGGCTCCAGATGGCTGAATTAGGCCTTCTGGCTGAAATTTGTCTTTCCCGTAGCAGCTGATTAAAAAGGGAGAAAGTGCAGGGTTAAAGAGCATATAAGAGGAAGACATACGGAATCAAAAGCACAACTGAAGGCCTGAAATATTGATTCAAGGAGAGCCCTGGAGAGCCATTTCTCAACAAAGATGCCTGTTGCTCACCAAAATAACTGCAGGGTGGGCAAAAATCAGATCTGAATGTACAATTTGAAGATGTATTTGCACTCTGAGAGTCGTTCCATTTTAGTACATGTTGATACAGGGGGAGGAGACAAATGAATGTGTGTACTATGCCCATCAATGATTCTAATATGCTGATTTCAAGTCTCTCAAAATTGGCCTAGATATAATCTGCTTCATAAGAGGAGTCCTGCAGTTTGCTCCCTGACCTTGATTGTCTTTCAATTCTTTTCCAGGTGCATGTTGCTGCTAACCTATAGATCTCTCAGTGAACTGACGATTCAGTTCCACAGGTGTGCATTCATTTTTTAAAAAAGAAAAGAATGAAAGATCAAATGAATTAGATCAATTAGTTTTTGATCTTTTATAGTAAAAATAATTTGGCATTTAAATGAATGGCAAATTTTTTTCATTTGCTTGTTTATTTCGTTCATTTCCATTGCTTTGCACGGAAGGCATTGCTTTGAATTGAAGATAGAAGCTAGAGATCTGTGTAAAGTTCATAGAAAGATCATGGGGAAGAGAGAGAAAGAGAGCAGTAAAATTGACAGAGTAGGCATCAGGTTTAGTTTAGGTTACCAGGTAGGCTATGTCTGTGCTCCTGTTTTATTGTTCTGAAAATGAGGACCATTTGTCTTATGAGAGCAAGGCTTTTAGTGTGGCTGTCCTGTTCTATGGAATGACATTCATGTCCAGATAGAACAGGGGACCACTATCTAGAAACAAATTAAGACATTTTTGTTCTAACCGGTCTGGCGCTCTGGCATGACTTGCGCTCAAGTGTAAGACCAAATAACAGGACATTACAGGATCCAATCCAAAGCGAGGAATGGCTTCTGTAATTCTGGGATGTCCCACTTAAATTGGGACAGTTGAGCGGTATGCACCAGCACCCAGCAGCAGCCAGCATGGAGGGGCAGCAGCATAATCTGGATTTCCAATATTGGTATTGCTGAAACTTACCAGGAGAGAAGAAGAAAAGAGAAGGCAGGGTGGTCAGCACTGTGGGGACACCACAGTGGAGCCAATCTGGTGCTTCCACCAGTGTGTTGGGACAGCATGGAGTAGGGTTGGCATCTTTGTTCTGGCAAAATACAGGACAGGTTGGGGCAGGTTGGGATGATTTCCACCCCAATCTGGTGCTGAAATGACTTCAAAGCAATCCATTGCAATCTATTGCAACCTAACAGGATGGCCCCTCTGGAAGTTGTCACATACACATGAATTTGTACATCTGTCTGTGCTTTGCTACCCAGAGCTTAAATACATGACCTTTCAGACACATGCATTTGGAGAGGATCTCTCAGTCAAGAGAGAGGGGGGAAGCAGAAATACAAGACAAACTGCTTTAATACAGGACGTAGCATTGTACATTGAAATAAGGGGCAATCCTGTTTTATACGGGATAGCCATGGATCTCCCTGCTGTATCATCACTCAGCCCAGATCTGCTTCCTGGTAGCCACAGCAATGCCAGAGCTGGGAGACCAGGTTTGTGTCACCGCTTGGCTGCTCCTTCTTGTAAGATGCCTAGTCTTTATTTTTGAAGATTTTGCTTCTTGGTTTGCAAATCACCAGCAGAATTGGGATCAGAGGTAGAATTTAGTTTTTACTTGGGTATTATTATCATTTTACTCTTCCCAGAAGGCTGAGCCAAGCAGGGCATGACTTGTACCTGGGCAGTGTAACTGTGATGGATCACAATGTCCCTTGTTAAATTTCACCTGGGAGCTGTGCAGAGCTCTTGATAGCCCTGTGTGCCCCAGGGGTCACCAAAGCAAAAGCAGGAGAGTATTGCAGTCTTTAAAACAAAGGCTCTGAGGAAGTACTTAATGTATATTTTGTGCTTCTTTCTGGGCCATAAACTGGGGTAGATGTTTTCAGAGAGGCTCCCAAGGTGAAGAGCCTGATCTCTCACACATTTATCCGTCTGAGATGAGTAAGTCTGTTGGATTCAATGGAATTAAGCTCAACTTGCTGCGTTTGGATCCTGGATATTGTTACTTAATAAAATCTATATGAGTGGTGAATAGAACAGTGAATAGGGAAGCTGAGGTCCACAGGCCTGATGGCATATGACATTAGCCACAGGACAGATTAAAAAATAACTCAAGCCAAGTTTGTAAAGGAGGTGTGGAGAACCTTTGGTCCTCCGGAGGTTGCCAAACGACAACTCCCATCTGGCCAATTGTCAGAGGTGATGAAAGTTGTGGTCCAGTGGCACTTGAAGGGCCAAAGATTCCCCATACCTATTGTAAAGGAGGGCTCTTCTTCTGCAGCTGTGTCTTGAATCATCTGATGACAGGTGACTGATGTTAAGTATAATTAATTTAATTCACACAAAATGGAAAGTGTATTTGTATTAATGAATGCTTAAAACAGAAAATGGCTAAATGTGTATTGCTAACAATAGTTTTCTAAGCGGACTCTGAGTTCTTGCTGATTTGATGATTAACTAATTATTGTTTTCAGCTAGCTAACATGTGAGTGTTGTAATCTTAGATCAGGTGACAAAGGTCTTGAGTTACAAATTTGCCATCTTGAAAGGGTGGTGGCTGTTAGACTTTCTCTGAACAGAAGGATATAAATGGCTCCAGGCTAAGGCATCTTATTTCTAAGATGCTGAGCCTGTGCTATACTGCATAAGACATTGTATGGATGTTTTGGATGTATATTGAATGTTTCAATTCCGTTATGAAGAAAGTTCTGTGATAAAAGCTTGAACAATATTTTTATGGGTCTGGACAATGTTTTCTTCCAACAGGAGTCAGTTCTTATGCTTCCAGTCGCTTCAAACTGTGCAGTATTAATATCTGCAATAATTGATAGGTGGGCAGGGGCACCCACCTGTCAAAGAAGATAGCAGAGGATCAGCCCTTTCTGGATCTGACTTTCTGACCAGAAGGGGTTCCCTGCCCTGGCATATAATTGAAGAATGACAGAGTTGGAAGAGTTCTTGTGGGTCACCTAACCCACCCTCCTATTTGATGCAAGATCTACAAAGCAGGATGCAGCTACAGTATCCCTGGCAAAGGCCATCCAACCACTGAATGAGACCCCACTACCTTTCAAAGCAGATTGTTCCGCTGTGGAACAGCTTTTGCTATTAAGAAGCTTTCCCTAACGTTCAGCTGAAATCTGCTTCTCTGCAGTTTCCACTGGCTGGTTCTAGCCCTGTCCCTCGGAGCAAGAAATAAACCTGCTCAATCCTTCTGCATGACAGATATTTGAAGACCACTATCACATCTCCCTTCTTTTCTCTGGGCTAAACCTTCTTTTCTCTAGCTGTTCCAGGCATTCCTTATAGGAACAGTTTCCAGGCTCCTGGGGTGGGGGTAAGAGAGAGAGAACCCTTATTTAGTGTACAAACAGCCGAAATAAAATAACAAAATGTTGACATGGGAGAAAAAGTGCACTCTCCAGGCTCCATTATCAGATTAGCTATGGCCTTTAAATGAACAGCAATGCCTATGGCATTTATCAGTGGATTCACAGCAGTGTCACAAAGAAGAGCGTGCTTGTTTTTAAGAGTCAATTTTCTATTAACAGAATCTGAAATTGTGTGTTGCAGGGGACCACTTTCAGGTTGTAGCCTGATCCTCATGTTCTGGCCATCTGCAGTTTCCAAACCAGAAAGCAGCCATGCCATTATATAACGTTGGACTTGTGATAATGATCTTATGGGTGGGAGTCTGGAGTGGGGGGGGGATATCTGTAGATGGTAATGTGACAGTGCTATTAGTTCACTTACTGCAAAATATGGTAAGGCAACTATGCTGCGCTGGGATAGCTGCCTGCTCATACTGCTGAGTTTCCATCAGAGTTGGGGAACTTCATGTGTGAATGTGGCCCTCCAGGGCTTCGGTATCAGGCCCTTGGAACTCTTCCCCAGACCACATCCGTTCTCTCCAGGCCACATCCCTCACTGCCCTGCTTCACACTCAAAATGCATTCCCCTGGCTAGAGAGTGTGTTTGAACTCTGGTAGTGATAGGGAGGCTCAGAGGGCTGCATTTGGCCCCTGGGTCTGAAGTGTTGCATCCCCGCTGTAAATAATGGGACAGCGTCCACCAATGCATGTGAGGTCAGCAGCTTAGGATAGACTGCACAGCTCGCATAGCTTTGTCTTCCAACACTTTTCCATTGCTACCCACCAGTCATGGATTGGAGCCCACCCAAGGAGGGACAGCAGACCTCTTTCCATGTGGTTTCAGAGCACTTTGGTGCACCATGGAGCTAGTAAGTCAGTGGGGTAGCGTAGGTTGCCAGTGCCCGGGGCCTTGCAAGTGGGGGAGGTCAGATGGAGTACATATGGCATACACACATTCAACTTCCTAATGGCATTCACATCATCCAGGAGATTGCAGCCATAGAAATAAGAGTTGTTCCATTGTCTGGAGAGGTCACCTCCTGATTTGCAGGGAGAAGCTGTTTTCAGTGGAGTCCAGCGATGGAAGTGCACAGCTGTACTGAGACAGCACTGGATATTGAAATTTTGCACCCTCTATCAATTTTGCGTCTGGGCCAACCGCCCCTGTGGGGCCCCCTGCCATGCTACACCACTGCAGTCAGCAGCTGTACTGGGTGAGACGGACCCAGAAGTGGACTTGACTGAAGACACCCTCAGTCTGGTCCACTTCCAAGGTACAAAGAGGGTCTCTGCCTGCTTTCCTTACCTCAAGCCTTTGAAGACATTCACACCCACCCACCCATCCTTTGCTTTAGATAGTTTTAGCTCATCTGGTTTTCTTTATAAAGGGGGCTTCCATGTACAGCATTGCTACAGACATCTGTTGGTCACTGGTTCTCAGGACAAGGCAGGACTTTTTACCTGCAGGTAGATTGGACTTGGTCTTGTGGGATCTTCACCTACCTCATACCAGTGACACAAAAAATGGGGTCTACTTTTTCTTTCCTATTCCTCATCTCAAGTTGTAATAGAAGAGAGGGACAGGGAAGTGGCACCCTGCTTCATCCCATCTGCCAATCCCCTCAAGGCAGCGGTTCTCAACCTGTGGGTCCCCAGATGTTTTTGGACTACAACTCCCATCATCCCTGAGCTCTGGCCTTGCTAGCTAGGGGTGATGGGAGTTGTAGTTCAACAACATCTGGGGACCCACAGGTTGAGAAAAGCTGCCTTAAGTGACCGTGGAGGGTGTTGCTTTCTGTCCAGAAGCTCAGTTCAGGGGATGACGTTGCATAGTACCCCCTACTAGATTGCCTAAAGGAGCCTGTTGGAAACAGTCCACAGCATGGTGGACCCCGATATTAGGCACCCCCCACTGCTGGCTGGGCTGCATATCAAGCAGCACATGGGCTGCTCAGTTAATATATCTGTGGTCCATGCCTATGCCAAACCTATACTCCTGTAACCAATAAAGTTGTGACCTTATTTTGACAATGGACTCTTGATTCTTATTTACTGCTCATCTCCTTTTTTGCTGCTCATGGGTCTGCAGGGCAGCAAGCAGACAAAGGCATCCACCCCAGGGGAGAATGGTAAGTATGAAACAAAAATCATGCAAATCGATGAAAATTTACAACTTCAAAACTTTTTTGACCATCCAATTGCTGCTTGCAATTAAAATCTATATCTCAACAACGCATAACTGAAGCCCAGAGTCAAAACCTTTTTATCCAACCAGGCATTTTAAATATCAACACAGATAGTTCTGTGAAAGGTTAGTGGCTATAGATTGCTCTGCTCCTACCAGCAAGGTGAAGTAAATTGTCTTCCAGTGCATAAAGGTGGGGAGGTGTGGGGTTGAAATCGAGAGAGAGCCAGAGGATGGCTGCTTGTTTCAGAAGCTGATTCCTGGTTAGATTTATTGCTTATGTGGGCCTTGAACTCATTGCTTTATTATATTTTATCTTGAGGGCAGGGAAAATATTGCTGTGTTTCAGCTTGCCTAGAAACACTGTGCTTGACCACTCTGCAAGCTTTAGCCTTGATAATATCCTGTTCTAAGCTTTCCCCAGCCAGTCCATGTGACTACTGTACTGGGATATGGCTGTTATCAATCACATGGTCTGGTGAGAAGATGGGACCAAGCCTGTGAGTCTCTTGCCCTCTAGATGACAGGTTGTGTACACTGTACAGCTCAACACATGGACTAGGGTTTAAGGCAGGCATGTCCAAAGTCCGGCCCAGGGGTCACTTGCGGCCCCCAGGCTGGTTTCAAACAGTCCCCCAGGAAATTTTTAAAAAGCAATCTCTTGCAGCCCCTGAGCACCTGCCCACCAAAGCCATTTCCTTTTTGCAGGCTCGTCACAAGCTCTCCCCTCTGCGCAGGGGGCGTGCCTAGCCCCCGCGCCATTAGGGAGTCCCCGGCTGTGTCACTCCTTGGGTCGACCAATCTGGTCAGCTGGGGGGACATGGCTAAATAAATACTAGAGTAGACGCTTGGGACGTTGATGCTGCAGCAATGGCGGTGGCAGAGGGGTCACCACCGCCTTGACTCAGTGCCAGGCTAAGTAGGCTGAAGCCTAGGGCCTCTAAATCTAGGGGACCTCACCAGCCCGCCCGCTCCCCAGCAGGTAGTCTCCCCTCTCCCAAAATTGTAAACCCAAGACTTCATGCAAGGGCAGGGCAGCTCAGGCCCAGCAACTATGAGACTCAGGGCTAGCCAGTGAGGCCCAATTTGAAGCAGTGGGGCGCAACTTGAATTTTTTTAAATTTTTTTGTAGGGCCCCAGTTCACGGCCAAAGTCTGCAAAATCTTATAGATTTAAATAAAATCCATCTAGATTGCCCTGGTGCGGGGGGCCACTTAGGAGCGGCACTCGGGGCCCAATTTGGCCAAATTGCTCCAATTGCCTGAAGGGCAGCCCTGATGAGACTGCGCAGGGGTTGGACTGACAAGCCCTACATCTTCTAGGTCCCTGGTGTCACTATTCAGAGTACAGACTCAAGGACTTGTTATGGAAATAAGGGGGTGGCACTTATTGAAAATTAGTTTTGTCACCTCTTTCCCCCCCAAACCCCAAGACAATGAGCCCAGCCACCTTTTATTCGCAGTCACATAAGCACTACACTACAGCATGGCCATAAACCTGTACGTTCAACTGCTGAAACATACAGCCAATATGTAGCAATGGAGATTTATGTTACTGCTTTATGAATGAACACTGTGTTTTATGAATGGACTCTGTGTTTTGTGAATTACCTAAGAGCCACCAATAGGGAGCTCTAGAATCTGACAGCTAACCACTTGGGTACTACCAGACAGCGACCCCTATTGCTGAAAGCAGGTAACCAGCAGGGAATGCTTCAGCTCAGCCTTTGCAATGTTGACTGAACACCCTCTGCTGTGCAGACGATGGAGAAAGCTCATAAATTGTATCCCTTCTGGCATCCTGCCCAACTCTATTGCACTGGAGTAAACCCTGGTGCACCAGAAGCCCAGAACAGCAGCAAATAAAATCCACTCATACGTCAGTGACTGATAAGACTTGTCAACCAGTTCTTCCAAAGTCATCCAAAATTATAAAGCTCCAAAATACAGGCCAAAAAAGACCAGGTCTGGGAAGAGCGAGGCATACAATGGGCACCACCAGTCAAAAGGCCCTGTTCCGTGTAGCTTCTGCCCTGTCATTTGACAGAGTGCCCACTTGCCCTCCTTCTTTACATGGAATGCTCTTTATTGGAGTCTCCAGGTCCAGTACAAAGACCAAAAGAAGGGAGAGCAGGGACCTCGAAGTTCCCAATAGCTGTTAATCAAGCAAGCAAGCACACAGGTCACCTTTGTCACAGTCAGGGCGCCTATGTCCTGGCCAGACCTGCACCCAATCTTGTTTTTGTACAATCCTGTTTGTCCTCAGTAATCAAAATTATATTATCAACATATACAAGCAGAAAAGTTGTTTTACTTTATTTGCAAGGAATCATACAAAACAAAGTGGCTCTAATAAAGAAAAGTTCCAGGGTGGCAACAGAAAGCAAACTAAAAATGCTTTTGTAGTTCATCAAAACTATCCAGCAATATCAAGTTATAGGAAAACTGGTGCCATTAACAGTAATCCTTCTGGTTGGTTAATTGGTTCAGCAACTTCCATGCACATGACGTGTGATGCTAATTATTTTCCCCAAAAGTTAAATGATAACTAAGCAGAGGCAGCTACAGTTGCAAACGGCAACAAAATATCTGTGAAAGGAAGAGGAGCAGGTTTGCTCAAGTGTGTTGCAGGTAGAAATACTGTTTGTAATGAAGTGAGAGCAGTAGTTTACGTGCTCAAATTAACAAATAAGAAAGTTTTAAGAATTTAAATTTTAGATTAAAATTGATTACTTAATTGAGAAGGGGATTATAACAAAACACTGGGGCCTAATTTGAATAGTAGAGTGCC